TCTTTCTGTGGGCTATAAGACAAAGAAATTTGATATTTTTTATATTTTATCGTGATTAAATAAATTATTAGTAATCATTGAGCAATCTATAGTTTTTATCGATGAAAATTAAAATTCCACACATAATTAATTGTGTTCGCCTTCGTATTGAATCACTGTTATGTTTATTGTTTTTTTTTTTTTTTTTACAATTATGATTCCAATTCCTTAAAGCTTCTCAACATAATAATTCGAATAGAAAGATCAATCTATTATGCATATAAAATAATAATTTATTTATTCGATAAAAAATATAGGCATAAATTATATTGGGGGAGAAATAATAGAGAATAAAATTAATGAATAAAAATGAAATAATGAAAAGAAAGAAGCAAAAAGAGAAAAAAAGAGAAAGACGATTGTAAGACAATACCTTGTGAAACTGAGCTTATTACATACGTTAAAACGGAAAGAAAATTTAGTTTATATCTTTAATTATTATTGAATGACAAAATGCCTTTAAGTCGGTAAATTAAAAAATTGACGTTATAGAAGATCTATGACGTTACAGGTGGTAAAAATGTATTCTTAATTTCTATGAACAAAAAAAAAAAAAAAAAAAAAAACCCACAAATAAATAATATTAAGTAAAATAAAAAACAAGCATTTGCGCGCAAAGATAATTACAATATAACTTTATCGAATGCGTATTGTGTAATAAAAAATCCACGTTAATTTATACTTTGTTTACGCTAAAGTGTCCCTCCATTTGCTAACGAAACGAAACAAAACAACAACAACAACAAAAATGCTATCGAGACAAGCAAGTGACATGTTAAAGCAATTCGTACAAATACTCAAAGTACACAATACAACGATTATGTTTAATGAATAAATTGCATTCCCACTAGAATTCATACCCGAAATGTATGAATAAAATATGTAATGTACCTTTTATGACGCATGTGTAACAAATAGAAAACTTTGAAGTGCTAATATTATAAACCTTCGTGCTGAACTATGTCGTTTCGGATCATATAATACCGTACACACATAATGTCAAGTACTACTAGAAGAAGAAGAGGAAAAGAAGAAGAAGAAGAAGAAGAAGAAGAAGAAGAAGAAACAAAAGAAAAAAGCACTATAGTCAATAGCGGTACTATTGCCAATTGTCAATAAAAAGAAAATCGTAAGAATCAAGCGAGAAAATTCGTCGTTTAACCTTTCCTCCTTTCTTTATCAACTCGCGGAAAAAGGATGAAGCTCCACAGGCTCCAATGAAGCAAACAAACAAACCCAAAACAAAGCACAATCAACGACTCGTAATTTTGAATATCCGTGTATTATAAAATAAAAAATAAAACAAAAATAAATAAATAAATGAAGAAAAAAAAACGATACTCGCATCCGATGCATATTTATTATTTACGAGCTTTTATTGTATCTGAATAGATGATGTCGGTCTCGGGAGTAAAAGCGCGCGAAAAAAAGCCAAATCATCCCAGTTTTGACGGACATACGATAACCGAAGACATTCCTTTGTCCCGAGGACTCGCTCTTTGCGTTCCTTTCTCTCTCTCTCTCTCTCTCTCTCTCTCTCTCTCTCTCTCTTTTGCACTGCGAATCCACGCTCCTGAGAGGCTGTCGGGCGCTTCGAATCTCAATCACCTCGCACTCACCTGGCCTAATTAATCGATGATCCTCCCCCTTCGCCTGACCTCGAACAACTCCCCGATGTCCACGAATAAATAAGGGACAAAGTTCGCCGAATGATCGTTCACCCTGATGTACGCTACTAGTTGAACCAACCGGGCAACCAGCACTCCGCTACGCGTCCAATACCCAAGCACCTAAGTGTACTTAAGTGATATGAATGGCCGTTGGATTTCCAACCGGGCTTTTATATTCTCGACGCCGCCTCGTCCACGTCTCCCAGGTATATGAAGGGAAAAGAGCGAAAGCAACGCGACACGACACTGGTTGCGTCCTGCAACTCGGCCTCTGTCCGCGCGCGCCAGTCTTTGTCTCTCGCTCGCACAGTACACTCGAGCCGTACACCAAGTGGCCAAGTGACGATGTATGACCGCGGCGATCCGATTACGTTACGGGGGTGCCTGACGGGTGCCCCGCAGGCCTTGCACCCGCCGAGCTCGATGATTGACGCCTACGTTTGACCGTGTGGCTGACGTCAGGACGACGCTCGCGCAAGGCGGAACATTTGAATCGAATAGCCGATGGACTGGCTGGCCGACCGACCATAACGTATCCACGATATCTTTCACGCACCACGATTATCATTATTACCATGAAATTTTATGATAAATCATATAGCCGGATATAATGGCATCGATATCGATCCATCATTATTATTTGGCGATGCTATAATGGCGCGTATAAGATGGAGAGCTCGAGAAATGATAATAATGCCAGTGATAAAAGAACGTGTGGTGTAATAAATCCGTGAGTATCGATAGACGAACGAACTTTAGGTTGTTTGAATTCCAATCGATGAATAAAGTTCTCTCGTTCCGTGCAGATGAGACGTCGAATTCATATTGACTATGTAACAGGCAACGCGTACTTCGCCTATATTTTTCAACGTATCAATCGCATCGACCTTTCTCCGTCAACGCTTCTTCAACCGCTATGATTTCCACACAACGATTATTACGGTAAATTGAAAGTGGCATTATAAATGCAATTGTATCGGTGTGCATTGTGTCTCGAAAGAGAAGGAAGGCAACGTGATACCAATTGGGTGTAAGAATCGAATGCTATTGGTTGGTTTGAATTTCGAAGCGTTACGCTGACAGCGTCATCCGTGCGCCTTGTGTTTTGCTTTTTCATCTTGCATTGGCTCCTTCCTTATGCGTTTGTGTGCGCACACGTGGGCAGTAACGACGGTTAAAATCTTTTAAACGTCACGATGCGAATTTTCCCATACTTTACGACTTTTACTTTTTTCGAATGTTCTTTTTTGTTTTGTTTTGTTTTGTTTTTTTTTTGTTGTTGCTTTTTTTGCTTTTTTTTTGCTTTTTTTTACTTTTTTTTTGCTTTTTTTTTGTAATGCGTAAACGTACGTCTCCGTAACTGACAACACAGTTACAAATAAATAAACCATAATGAGGCTGAAGAAGGATTTCGGTAAAACTTCGGAAAAACTTCGGTTCGCTCTCTTGTTAGTCCTCATTTTTTATAATTTCATTTTGTTGTCTAGGCCTGCTCGACATACGTTGCTGCCAACTATTCTTACTATGCACATATTTATTAATTATAAAACTATGTATTAACGATGTATTAATTGATTGGGTTGGAGTATGATCGCAAAATATAATAGTGATCTCGAATGCTAAATAATGATTTAAAAGCATTTATAAACTGCAACGCAAATTCGCATGTACATTAATTTAAAAGACAAATCGTATAAAATATTGTTATTATGAATGAAATACAATGCCATCGTAAATCTTCTGGCATTAAAATGTTTTTCGCATAATTAAATACAATTATGTAATCATACGTTTCAAGATTTACGATACAAATAAATTATCCTGCAAATATGCGAACATTTTTAAAAATATATATAAACGTCTACACTTTCGTGCTTTCCTCTCTCTCTCTCTCTCTCTCTCTCTCTCTCTCTCTCTCTCTCTTTTTTTTTAACGTATGCGTATAATGCTGTAATGATAAGATTATTCATTGATCGGCATAAGTTTCGATGGTCTATACGACTAAATCCAATAATCCAATCAATTATCAATTGTTCGTCAATCTTAATAATAAATGAGAAGCCGATTTTTCATTAATTGTCGGTAATACGAAAAGATTAAAAAAAAAATCTGCTTACTCAGCATTAACTGCACAAGTACGGACGTTAAAAAACAAAAACTCCGTCAACTCTACAATAGGCAAGCAAATACAAAAGGACAAAACTCCGTACTCTCGATTATTGTTTGATCCATCATCTTGCTCAAGTTACTAATCCCCACACCATCCTAATCGCATCCCCGGCGGAGGACGAAATCGAAAGTCTAAACAATGCAGAGGACTATTTTCTTTTAACGGTATCGCGAAACAAAAGGTCTGATTCATCGGTCGAGCGGGTAATGTCGGTCGCGTAGGCCGTACTTTCCTCCTCGTCAATTACCAATATGGCGATGCCCCAAGTGCGACGGGTTTTGGAAACGGAGAGACGGGAACTAAGCGATCGACGAATGGCCGAGGGAGCGGAAGCGATTTTTGTAAATCGACTTGGCGATGCTTCTTCTTTCGTTAAATTATCTCTCCTCAGCAGCAAATCATTCGATTGACCGTAAACTCATTGGCGCGTGCAAACTTAACTGGCTCTCTTAACTGAGTAAAGGAAGGACGAGATAGTCTGATTACCCCGAGGTCACCCGCTCTTTATTTTCTAAACATTTTCGCTTTGAAAATACTTTTCACGAGCTTTTAATAAAGTGCATTCGTTTATTACTTCTGATGCGTCGATCTTTTCGAAATTGTTAGCTCCCATTGCAAAGTTACGAATTTGAATGGCATTGTTTATTTTATTTTTTTTTATTTATTTATTTATTTTTTTTCTTCAAATTTTATAATCAATACTAAGATATATTATATATAGTATAAGAATTTTTCAATAATGATATAGAGATGTAAGCATTTTTACTTATGAAGTTAATTATTGTAGAGATCATTGTATTTCTTCTGGTGATAATATTTCCTGTGTAAATTAACAAAAATCTTCGATATCTTTTAATGTAAATGAATAAACGTTATATTAATATTTAACACTCGACAAACTTTGAAGAAAATTATAAACACACTGATTAATCAATAAGACGTTAATATTCTATTTACTATCTCAACGATATTCTGGTCTGTTTATTTTCACCAAAAGGTATTTAAAGCGGGCATTGTACACAAAAAAGCTATAGTAAAAAGATTACATATATATATATATGCATACAGATATGTTTACATGTATATTTCTATTTGAAAAATAAACTGTTGTATTTTTTAATTGTTACAATAAACTTCAATTTCCGTATCAATTTTTTACGAATACTTCTATACATTGTAAAATTAATTTTTATGTTGATAGAAAGAAAAAAATCATCACACATATTTTACATCTAATTATTCCATTAAATTGAATTACATTAAATTAATAAAAGAGTGAAAACAGTTTTAAATTTTAATAGAAAACTAAATTAACTATAATATAAATGTAAAATAAGAAACACACTACTAATATATATCTATAGGTATTCATAAATAATATTATTATTATTTAATCGCGTAATCCGAGAAATTTGTAATTTTATAAGAAAATATTTATATTAAATGTTTTATTTTGCAAATCGTAGTGTGTAAGAAGGATGAGAACTTTTACCCTTACGGATATCAATATATTTTGTTATAATAATTCATTTTCACTGATAATTTCTTCCTATACAAAACTAATTATATGACTATTCTTTTAATTCTTTCTTTTTTTTTCTTTTTTTTATTAATAATTATAGGAAAAAATTGTGTATTTTGCAATGAATATTTATGATTTTGTCTGACATTCTTTTTCATTTAACTGTAATATAATTCAATCTACTTACTTATCTCCATTTACCTTTAGTTCTTCTATTAATTTTATTATCTTTAATTCTACTATACAATCACACGAATTTAAATGGGATAAATTAATTATAATCGAGGTGGTGGATAATTTATGGCCTTTATATCTCGCATTGTGTAATTTCATACGATTATTGCTTTCGTGAATATATTTTAACAGAATACTGTTAAAGCAGATTAGACACTTAATTTTTTTCATTTTACAAATTCAAATTTTCAAATTATATTAGCAGTTTCAGGCTATGATGATATGCATTTTATAACAGCAATCATTCGCAATTGTTTGAATTACATTATTTGTCTTATTCATATTACAATAAAATTTTTGTCATAATATAATGATGAAATTTAAATACCTACCGACTTATGCTATACTATATAACATATAATTAATATTTTATTCGATTTTTATTTTCTTCCATTTAAATTAAGATACAAGTTATATGAAAATTATGTAGAGACGTTAATTATATTAATAAATATATTAAATATCTAGCAATAATCTGCATATTCAATGCACCGTATTAAATTGTCGGTATTATACGATCAATGACTCGTGTCGAATACAATTGCATTTCAACGTGTGAGAATCTCGAAATTAACCGAGAATTCAACAAGTCTCCATATGTAAATAATGCCAAATATATATTAAGGGAGACATCACTTGATTTATTATATAATTTGGAAGAAGAAAAAGAAAATTTGGACACCAATATAACGGTAATGAAATAATTATACGACAGTATTAATTGTGCAGATTGATAAGGATTTATGTATCGTTACAAGAATAAATTTAGTATAAAACTTAATTCATAAATATTAAAATAAAATACATTGGTTATAATAAAACAAGTGTACTATTAAATAATACCTTACTAAAGAAAGCAAATTGCGCAATGAAAACGTATATTGCGCTTTTTACACAATTTCCATCAAACATTGCTACTTCAACGCTTCCCTGAAATCGTCTGGAATGTTAAGAAAGTCGATAATAGCTTATGTATTTTGTATCGATACATTAATATTCAGAATCTATTTCCATAATAACATAACAGGGCTATTGTTTCTTTGTCCAAAGATACGCTAAACGCTATAGTCGTAACATATTCTCTATGAGATATGCACGAAGATTTTGCTTTCCTCTGCAATTCTACTGAATTTCAATTATGATTATAGCGTGTGTTGCTATGTACCATTAATTTTTGTAAAAATAAGTTTTATAATAATAAAAGTGAAGTTTATCGATTGAATCGATTATTGATATTTGTATTGCCCGTTATACGCATAGTTTAGTAATATATTATTTAATTAAATGAGACGATGACAGAAGATTTTTATTTTTTGTTTTTTTTTTTTTGTTGTTTTTTGTTTTTTTTTATATAGTGTATTTAGTGCTGGCTCATGGTACAAAGGCATTTTGACTAAAATTTTTATGTTCTAGTATTATTAAAAAAAAATTGAATAGTTTATTATTTACTTTATAACTGCAAACGAGCAACTTTGTAAAAAAAAAAAAAAAATTCCTTATGTTTCAAAGATGATAATAACTTTTAATAAGTAATATTATTTTTACCGTCAAATTAGTCAATATTATTATTTATGAATTATAAATTAAAGTTTAAAACGAATTTAATATTAAATTTTATATTATAATTTTTGTAAGATAAATTATTTTAAACCTGATTTAGTACAACTCGCCATTTATTTAAAACTAAATTTTATATACTTTGTTAACACATTTATGTAAATAAATAAATAATATCTAACTTATCGGAGAATCTTTATCATAAAAAGTTATTGAAAAAATCATAATCGTTAATTAATATTGATTGTGTTATTGGATTTAGGTTTTGAAATAAGATTGAATGATAAAAATTATAACGCAACAGTGATGAAAGCTTATCATAGAGAACAAACAAAATTTTATAAAAATACATTTTGTTATTACTTATTGCGACTAATTGAAATTATTGATATGAAGTCCTTACTACCTAAAAAGTGTATAACGAATTATTCTACTAACGGAATTAATATGATTTTATAATTGTGATAAGCTTAATTTAAACATTTATATTATTCATTGATCGAATATAAAAATATTACTATGAGAAGAAAAATCTTAAAAAAAAAAAAAAAAATAAATAAATAACATGTTTTAATTTAATGAAGTCTTTGGAAAATTTTTCCATTTAAAATCATCCAAATACTTAACAATACCTATTGCTTTATATTTTGTCTTATAAATTATTTTCATCAGCCAAAGATTTTGTTATATGAGGTGCATTTTTTAAGGCAAAAATATTTATTTAATTTCACGAGCATTTAAAATATTTCTTTAAATAAACCGTCAAATTGTATAGTATTTTTATGTTTATACTTTATTATAACGAATTTATCTTAATTTATTTGACACAATTCTGTTGATGTATTATAAAAACGTCTATTAGTAGATAATAGAATTCGATTAATATAGTTTTGGTCAGTCGTATTGGGTAACGGCGAATGATTGGGTAATACTAATAATGATCGATGACATCGTAATCTTTTATCTAACGTAGTCGATAGATAGTAGTAGATAGATCGAGCAAAGAAAGAAGATTTTAATGTTTAATAAATTTGCTTAACATTTAGTATTCAGTTATTAAGCTAATTAAAATTTTGATAAATGAATTTTTTATTTAATTGAAATTGAAATTCATTAAATTTTTAGATGTTAAAATATTCTGATTTTCAGTATGTTGACAAAACAAAAAAAAAAAAAAAAAAAAAAAAATCGTTTGTAGCGTATAATACGTTATGGTGATTTATATATAATATATTACCATTAGAGCAATGAATTTATTAAACAATCAAATAAAAATAATAGATCAGCTTTTAGGAAATTACAACATCTGCGTTCAAATGTATTTTACATAATAAATTTTATTAAATGCCAATAAATGAATAAATGAATAAATAAAACTAGTAGTAATGAAATTGTGTATATAAACTTTTTCAAAGTAAGAATTACTTTTTAAAAATTTTAATTTCTATAAAAAAAATATATATTGAGTTTGAATAATTAATTAATTTAAATTTAAATTAACGTGTCATTATAATATAAAATGCATTTAAATAAGAAGAAATTTAATTGAGTTTTATTAAATTCAAACTTAATTAAAGATCAAGTTCAATCCCGAAAACACTGAACATACGATTTATATTTAATAATTAAAATTTTAAAACGAAAAAAAAAGATGTAATTGCGATTAATATAATAGATGATAGGCACAATATATTTACATTTTAATTACATATTGATAATATATAATATGTTTTCTTATTTATAATATATCTGTTGATGTTACTTAAAAATTTTTTTCAATATGTTATATCTCAACTGTTTAATGAAATATTAAGTTATGATGAAAATGATTAGAATAGTGAAAAAACGTTCTTGGTCTCAAAAATATAATATTAATTTATCGAAATTTCTTGTGATCAAAATGTGCCGAAATTGATTAGTGATGACAAAATACAAAGTAAAATAAGATTTTATCAATACATTAGAGCAGCGAATTATATATATATATATATACATTAAATTTAGAGACCTTGACTCATTTGATAATAATGTAATTATAATTTCATAATAATTCATGACTTTTTATTTTTGAAAAATATATTAACACATGGATTATTCAAAGGTATGCACTTACTTCTTATAACCTGAAAATAGAACAAAAGTAATCTTAAGGCACAATGCTTAAAATAAAAATGAAGTACCAGAAAATCATATTGACATATATTTAGCGCCATTCTTTCTTTGTTCTCGCCAGCTGTACTCACATCTACTTCCCTCTTTTTCTCTCTCTTCATCATTATTTCATAATACAAAGATTATAAATGAATATATTTTTTAGTATGAGCAACCCTGACCAATAACCTAAAACTCAATATCGTAGTTAATGTTTTCGAAGAATTATCTCTGATAGTAACGAACTGTAGGAATAGAAAAGGAAAAGAAAAAGAGAAAATCAGAGATTAGGAATTACCTTGCAAGTCGTATGCAGGTAAATTGAATTTATAGCAACGCGTGAGATGAGCTGCTTTCGAGTATTGTGGATATTCTTATAAGGTATTTAAAAATATCATCTTATTTGTATTATTTTTCATGAATAACAATTAGACGAAATGATGTATTAAAAAAAAAAAAAAAAAAAAAAAAAAATCGTTAAACCATGTTCCACTAATTGAATTGAAATTAAAATGATTATGAAAAATTAAAACGAGGTTAAAATTTTTAATTTTAATTTACTTGAGTATTACAGCTCATCTTTGTTACATATATTATCAAACAATTTGTCGTTGTATATTTATGAATAAATTGTATTTAGCTAATAAAGTTTATCGTTAAAATAGTATGTTTACTAAAATTCTTGTATAAAGATTTTTTCAAATATCTTGCATATTTGAAAAGCATAAGCATTTTTATATGGACACTTTAAAATGGTGTAAAATACTGAGAACAAAAGAAACTAACTATTAGTACAAATATTATTAAATATAAAAGTAATTATTAATTTACTTTATAATATATTATGATTTAAAAAATGATGTAATATTTTTGTGGATCGTGAATGATGATTTTTAAAAATTTTATAAATATATTTGTTACAAAATTGACATTCATTATGTTATTTGTTATCATATAGATATATATTTAATTTATTATTATTTAATCTAGTTTAATTACACATTATTTTTATTAATTTCAAAAAACTATTACCTTATCATCTACTATTATTTGAAATATTATTATAATTAGTATAATATTTTAGAGGTTCAATAATTATAAACAACTAGTCTTTAGGATGACTAACGATAGTGACGATCAGTCACAAAACAAGAAATTTATATTTTCTAAAGATGATGACGACGATCAAAGTCTTCTGGATAGTTATGGTGGCGAATGTCATAGGCTGTGTTCCGGCACGGACAGCTTTCCTAACATCAATGAAAGGCCTGTCGAAGATATTTCCATTGAATTTTTTTACAAGCCTCATACCATTACACTTTTACTGATCTCTATTTGTGCAGTCATCTACTTTGCATTTGTTAGGTATGGGATCATGAATTGTTAAGCTATAAAAAAATTTATTTAAGCATTAAGAGTTATTGTTAAAGTAAAATACAATTTAGCTTAATTTAGTTTCAAATATATTAAACTATCGATGTTTTAGGCGATTAAAGATTTATTCATAAAAAAGCATAAGATTACATAAGATAGTGATGAAAATATTGTGGAATTTTATATTTAACATTATTTTGATTTATAACGACGTTTAGTAAATTATATTTCCATATTAAAGAAAAAATTTTTTTTTTTTTTTTTAATAACTTTTATCTGAAATTTTACAATATATAGTCAATTATTGCTTATTAATTAAATAGCATAAATAACATAAAAGTTTTTGTAATTTTATAAAATAAGAATAATGTAACTCGGAGCATAAATTAAAGAAAATTTGTTGTTACAATATTTCACATTTACATTGAAGCTATATATATCATTAAATGTTATTAATAAAACATTTACAATAATAAATTCTTACTGCACAAAGTTATTTTTTTGTTTAAATAATTATTTTTTTTTTTTTTTTATAGAGATTGTTCAAATGTGGAAGATAACTTAAGGGCTGGACTACTATGCATTGTTTTCTTCTTTCTCATAATTTCAATTTTAACCTTTCCCAATGGACCATTTACACGACCTCATCCAGTGGTATGGAGGATAGTGTTTGGTTGCAGTGTGTTGTATGAGATATTTTTGCTCTTCATGCTATTTCAGAACTACGAAACAGTACGTAAAATATTTGTATGGATAGATCCAAGTTTGGCTTCTTTTCATATTGACATGGATAAGGAATATGGTGTAAATTGCTCAGATATAAATGTAGAAAAAATCTGGAACCATTTAGATGTATTTGCTGTGGCTCACTTTCTTGGCTGGGCTTTTAAGGCTATTTTGATACGTCACTTGGGCATCTTATGGGCCATAAGCGTTATGTGGGAGGTAACAGAGATAGCCTTCGCTCATTTGCTACCCAATTTTGTGGAATGCTGGTGGGATGCCATGATTCTTGATGTATTAGTATGTAATGGCTTGGGTATTTGGGTTGGACTGAAAATATGTTCAATACTTGAAATGAGGGAGTACAAGTGGGTTAGCATTAGAGACATAGAGAGTACCACTGGAAAGCTGAAGAGGGCAATGTTACAGTTTACACCAGGTAGTTGGACATCGGTTAGATGGCTTGATCCTACCTGCACACATATGAGATTTGTAGCACTATGTCAGTTAGTGATATTTTGGCAGGTTTCAGAATTAAACACATTCTTTTTAAAGCATGTCTATGAATTTCCACCTTCGCATCCCTTTGTTGTGTCGAGGTTGGTAATGATTGGAGTAATAGTAGCTCCATCTGTTAGGTTTGTAAAAATTTATTTATTATATATATAATAAATTGTTTAAAATCGTGTATAGAAGTTAAAAATTTTCTCGAAGAAATTATCGTTTGTTAGTATTTACATTAGCAAGCGAAAAATAAATGAATGTTATTAATTATTCAATTTATTATTATGTAACTTAATATTTATTTTTTATCGTATTAATTAAATGCATCTTAATTAATTTACTAATTTATTTTAAAAAGTTAATGATGCCAGTCATTATAAATATTTACAATATAAGTTATTTTTTAATATTATTATAATATTATTATACACCTGATCAATCAATTGCTGATGTGAAAACATTTAATATTAAATTGAATTTTAAATGTTATACTCCGGAAATTTCACTTAAGTCCACAATAAAACAATTCCAGTTTAAATTAGTCTTATACAATTTATAAAATATATTAAATCAAATATATAACCATAGGATGTTTATATTATTTAATTGAAATACAAATATTAAATAAAAATAACGTCAAGTAGGAGTAAAATGATTATTTTTTTAAACAATGTATAAGACGAAAGAATAGATTATTTATTTAATCACATTGGAAATACATAATTTTGCTGTTGTAGGCAGTATTATATGTACGTGACAGACCTTTCATGTAGTCGAGTAGGCACTCAGTGCTGGGTATACGCTGCTATAATGATGACTGAGGCTCTACTCTGTATAAGGCATGGAGCTGAACTATTTGAGAGGACTCAAGCCCTCAATATTCTTCTTTGGCTATTGTGCCAATCTCTAGTCTCTGTGCTGTGCGTCTATGGCTGTGTTTTGTGGCATCAATACTTTGCGGTAAAACTAATATTATTATTCAGACATTATTTTCTTCACATTGTTGTAGAGAAAGAGATTTTACCATTTTTTCAATAAGTTCAATTATTTATACAATTTTTTATTTCTTTGCTTTTATTTTTTATTCAAATATCTTAAAATTTTTACCCTTTCTTGAAAAGATCCTGGATTTTCTTTTTAATAGGAAACTTAAATGCACATGCGCGCAACACACACACACACACACACACACACACACACACACACACACACACACATATATATGATTGTAAATAATTTTAATTATCAGAGATATTTAAAAGATATATTTAATTACATTAGTTTAAGATCAATGAATCCAACATATTATTATACTATTAAGAAGTAAATATATTATTTAAAAAATTTTGCTTAATTTGTGGAGTTATATATTTTATGATATGTCACTAATTAACAAATTTTTTTTAATATTTTGTGTTTTTCTTCTGTATCGTGCATGGTATTCAAGACGAATAAGAAAAATTCATCTGCCCAACAGAAAAAGAGTCGCATGGAAGCTACTTCTATGGGTGGTATGTTTATTAACAATATTTTATTAAACAGTTTTACATTTATCTTTCCATCTACTTTAGAGTTAACTAATATAAATGTTTAATTTTTATTAAAAACACGAAAGTCAGTCTATTCTATTTAACTCTATTTAAAGAAAATTATAAAACTAAAAATAATTTTATAAAGAATAATCAAATAACAAACAAAAAATATTTCAAGTGACAAATGGCGCATAATAAATAAAATGATACCAAGGAACATTCAATAATTTTAAATATAGTAAATATTAAAATATTTCTTAAATGTTTTTTTCTGTTTAAAATGTTTACGAAAGCAAAATTACTTTATATATATTTATTTTATAAATATTATACACAGAATAGCAATATACAGAAATATTAAAAAATTTAATGTGTTTCCTATGAGAATTATTAATAATTGAACGAAATGTTTATTAATATTGAATTAAATTTGATCTTTCACGATATTCCTGATTATACTTATAAATTAATAATTAAATGCATTATAAATTATTTATATCATATAACGATAATTTAATTAACTATCATTATTTACCTTATTTTATCAAAATACCAACAAATTTTATAATAAAATATGTTTACCCAATTATGCATTCCTATACTTAATTCATAATTATTAATGAAATGTCTAAAAAATAAATTTAAAATGCTTTATGTATAACTTATTATTTGAGGAGAATGGTAATGAATTTGTTATAATCTTCTAACTCATTATACAGAATCAATTTAATTAATTTTAATTAATTAAAACATTAGTATTATGTAATGAACATGATTTTTGAAAACTTGTTTAAATTATTCGTTTGAATTTATAAAAATTAGTATTATGCCTTTTGAAGTTTTATGATTAGATAAATGTCAAACAATAATTATTTTTATTTATAGCTAGTGTACTATATTTTTATTTTAACATAATCCCTTGATTTTGAAATTGTTCCGAATAGATTACGTTATCATAACTATTAACAAAATAAGTGCACAACATTGACATAATTATTAGTCATAAACGTTTCAGTATTAATTTTATTCTTTAAACAATAAGTTATTTACTTATCAAGCTTTTCTACACCCTGAATATTAATTTCAATTTTTCAATTGTCAAATGGTGGTAATTTCTTTTATTTAATATTCATAGATACTTTCTCTAAAGTACTCATTATACTTTATTTTTATAAGTCTCATTGATGATTAACATGAAATAAAAATTCTGAATGGCCTGTACTTTGCTAATGTAATGTCATGTATATTTTAAGATAATATTTCACCAAGAAAAAATTATGTTTTTAACATATTAGATACTATTTCCAGGATTCAATTTAATTACATTTAAAATATTTTTGTTTGTCAGAACATATCATAACTGATAGCAAGTTATCGAATATTTCGTAATTAAATAAATTTCACTAACATACTATTCCTGTCTTGGAATTTATATCCAAATATATTCAAATGATTTCAATATATGCTGACAACCTATGTAAGCTTATGAATTAAATAGTCCAATATATAATTTGCCATATAAATGAAATAATTTTTATAATTTGGATGAAAAGAAATTTAAAATACTTACGCCTACAACGTTTAGATAAAGTTTCTATATAATATTTATTAATTTTTCATAGGAGCCTTGGTTTACGATGCTGACATCACGGAGCCTGAGGACAAAAAAGACTTGTAAAGATCATACTACCACTACTACCAGCGGCTGAGGCCAAAATTTCTAGTCAAGCTAGCAAACAAAATGGACATATCCAACGCTATATGTTTTATTTTAAAAAATTCTTACGAGCCAAATTAGAGAAATATGCGTATATATGAATGTTTTCTGTTTGTTTTTATGAAAAAAAAAATATGCGGATGCACGTATGCCCGAGATTATGAGTAAGTGTATCATCGTTGAAAAGAACGTAAGGGATTTTTGTTGGTTTGAAACTTTTTTTTTAACTCATGCAACGAAACATAATGGTTTTTCATTTATTTTCGCTGTTGTAGAAGGATAACGATTTGGTTGATTTTAGATGATATATATTATAATAATTCAAGGTTGAATAACCGCGATGTTACATACGATCGTGTCAATGTACTAAAAAAACATTGTAGATTTAATTATTGTAGATAATTTTTCTAGGTTGTTGTTGATTCTTCTTAAGATTTATCAATTAATAAAAAAGAATTTCATGTCATTACGATATTACAATAATATAGAAAATATTTAGATAGTATATGTTGGTTTTTGAATTCATTCAATGTTTGTTAAAGTCGAATATTACTTCAAAACTTTTTAGCAACTGTCAAAGTTGTTATTGAATAATCATAACAAAGATTTAACATATTTGTGATGTATGAAAAGTCTTATTAACACATTAATATTTCAAAATAATATATACAATATATTTATTATTTAACGAATGAGTAAATAAATACTTTTTAAAATTAAAATTAACCAAATCCAATTAGGACTTGTACAGCAGAATGTAGATTAGAAATTACTAAGAAACATTTTGAATTATTTTACAATGAAGAGAAATACAATATAATTTTAATATTATGAAGAATAATAAAGAAAAGCCATGTATTATATAACATTTTTTAAAATTAAAACGAAATAAGTACAAAATTTCGTAAAAATTTAATGCTTTTATAAATACTTTGAAAAAACTACATTACAGTTTAGAGATATTTTAGGCTTTGTTATAAAAATTCATAAATAAGTGACAATATACCTATTAAATGTAATTATATGTAAATCATAAAATGAAATAAGGAATTAAGATATTTCTGAAACACATACATTTAAAAAAATCAGAATGTCTTTTAATATGTAAATATTTTTTTCTAATCAACAAACTAGAATACTTATATCAAATAAAGCCATATAGTTAAAAGGTTGATTATTTTATACAAAAAAAATTAAAATATAACTTTTAATTATGTCAATTGAATGCACGTAGGTAAATGAAGATAAAACATTTGTCTTTGTAATTTATGATTAATTTGTTGTATTAAATGTAAAAAATAGTATAACAGTTGACGATTTTCTTACTTAACAAATCATAAAATAGAATTTTATGCAAACATGTAATTTTGAAAGGCAGGAGTAAATTTTACGTACACTTAACGATGGATGTATATATAATTATATTTATTTGTTTTATAATAATTCTAAATTAATTTCTAATAAAATGTTAAAAAACTTTCATATTAGTCCCTTTTCTTTGAAAGTATGATATCTCTGTGTTCAGATTTTATGGGATTTATTTTATATGTTTTGGGTACAGGTCCTCTGCCAGCTTTTTCAAAAACAATTTCGTCGTAAATTTGACGAGTATTTAATTCTCGAGCCATTTTTATATTCATCCATGCTAAAATAAAAGAAAAATTTTATCAATAAACATCATCAGTTTTCCACCATACATTAATTAATTTAATTAATATGTTATAACGAACAATATTCTTATGTTTAAATAGTTATAATGATTGTAATAAATATTAAAAACAGACTTATGTATTAAAAATCTATAAAAATTCATTGCAATTTGTTTTTATTAATATTTTGTTTTATCTTTTGTTTCATCGAAATAAAGTGATTTATAATATTAATATTAAATATAATGCAATAAATATCGTTTTCCAGAGTGAATTATTTCATTTTTCTTATTCTATTTCTTATATTAAATTATAAGAAAATTTATTTTACAAACGAAATTGAGAATATAAATATCTTACAATCTCTAAATCCTTGAGTAAAGTTCTTATTTGACATAATTAATTTCTTTGAATCGTGTACTATTAATTTTGGAATTTCGAAATACTCTCGTACAACTGGTATTCGAAGGATATTGACTTGAACGAGTGAACATACATTGGTTGAAAGCCAATAACAAAGTACTGCCTATAAAAAAAAATTCGATTTTTAATTTTCGTTTTTCGTTTCTAAGATATTAATTATTATGCATATATTTTACTAAAAGAAATTTTAGTAAGTAGTATGATTTTATTTGTTTTTAAGTATTAAAAATATTGATTTTAGTTAACAAATTAAAGGAAAGTATCGATGCAATAGAAAATTTTTTTAATAAGCATTATATATATCAAATAACGAAAAACAAATAAAAAATAATGTAATCATAGTTTCAAAATAATTAGAATTCAAAATAATAGATTCAAAATAATTGTAATTATTTTATCAAAATATCTCATACAATCATTTAAGAAATTATTAATTTTAAAAATGCTATAAGAGAAATTTTATGAAAAAATATAAATATTTATAACGAGTTATACTCACTCCTTCAAAATTGATAATAAAGGGGAACATAACAAAAGGCATGGCCCGCAACATGTATTTTACCATACCCATATTCTGAATTCTCAAGCTATCTGTACCCATTTCAATAGTTAATGCTAAAGTAGCACTTGTAAACAATGGCAATAAATAATATTTATCTGGAACAGTTAAATTTTCAAACCACGACAGACCTCCATACTTCATACTTTCGACAGGCACTTGAACCATACCACGTAGTGCCCAATAAAATGATAAAAAAACTGGAGCCTAAATAAAATTCATTACATTAATTAAATTATTGTTCGTATTTTGTATTTGATCGCTTCTGTTAGCTAACCTGAATAAATGGTAATAACATATTTTTAATAGGATTAGTACCCTTTTCATTCATTAGGTCTCGTAATTCATAAGCTAATCTACAAGCTAAAAGAGAAATTATAAAATATGTAAGTCAATACTTTGTATTAAGACTTTAATAATTTATTTTTTAAAAAATAATATAAAATATTCAAAATCTATATGTGCAGGACGATATTTATTTTATATTGATTTTATAAATATATACAAATAAAATATTACCTTGCAACTGATCACCCATTTTACGTGCTTCAGTCAATTGTTGTTGTAAATATTGTACTTGTGGTTGTATATTGTGCATTTTTGCAGAATATCTTTGCATCTTTACAGTTAATGGAAACATTAGTAATCTAACGCACACAGTGGCTGTATTGAAATATTATTCTTTTAAAAGGTATTAAATCAAATGGTAATTAATTAAGTAAATAATTAAGAATTTATTTAAAATAGATAATAATTGTATAAGTTAGTTAATAATCTGTTTCAATGCCGATTAATATAATTCTATATGCCACATACTTGCAACTATCGTTGCCCACCAAGGTATGTGAGCTTTTATATGAAGAATTTCAAGAAACTGTTGAATTATACCGGCAGGATACCAACTACCAAGACCTATACTGTGAAACGTAGGTTCTCCCAAAATATCTCCTACTATTTCTGACTCAAGTGGTATCGGTGGCTCTATAATAGATAATCGTCATTTTTATATCATATTAATTATATCATTTTAATAATTCTCTTATTTAAATAAACTCACTAGGTACATCTAATATGACATTTTCCAATTCTACATCTATTATGAAGGAAAATGATTAAAGCTATATATTTTTTATTATTTAAGCTAAATAATTTATTTTAAATATTATTTAAAATTTGATATAATTAGTTAAACATACCCAGAGTTGGAGAAACATGATCTTCCACTAAAGTTAAAAAATATTATTTTTAATTTTTCATAAATAAACATATATAATATACAAATCATAAAATAGGTATTAAATTAGTAAAATAACGCATACATGGATTGTTTGGTAATTCATTATCATTTTTTGAATTCGCATTACTCATGTGTCTACTAAATGCCGCATTGACATTGACAATAGGAGCACATACTCGATGATTTTGATCTGTTTGGATCGTGAAATTTCTCATTAATTTTCGAGAAGCTATGTGTAACGATCTATGATATATTTCTTTCTGTAACAAGTAATAAATAAATTATATCCACAAATCATATAACCTCAAAAACGATATATTATGCAATTCTTACTTGAATGATAACATTTGATTTTGTCGATATTCTACAACTAACAAATAGTGGTGTTCGTAAGAACATGATGAATTGGTAAAATGTTTATTAAGAGAAAACTTTAATTTATTAAATTAGTAAAGTCAGATTATATTCAATGTACGTTGCACGGGGCTCATCTTCATAGATATTTTATTTTTCCGAATAAAGTTACTGTGAACTGGCAGTGTAGATGCAGCGGTTGGCTGCAATGAAGAATTATTCTTCATCTCTATGTTGTTTTTTTGAATATTTTATATTATTGATAAAAAAGGCTGATCATTCGAAAAGTATATTATCATTCAATAATTTTATAAGCTGGTTACATTGTATATATAAGATTCGATTCTTTTGTAAAAATTAAACATTCGTTCAATGCTGGATCTGTGATTAATAATAAAAAAGTAATTAAAGTAATTATAGAGATGTTTTTGTTCTGTTTTATTAGAATTCATCGATAATGACAATTAATTATATGTTATAAGTTCGTAAAGATTGAATATAAGCATCGAAGATTGATTAGAGAATTTATTCAAATAAATAAATAAGAATTCCTTCAAATTGTCAAGTATCATCGTCTATTAGCGATGCATATAATAAAATAAAAATATATAACTATTGCTTTGCAACTTTAGGAAAAATGGATTAGGCTTTTACATTTAAAATTAATTATAATTCGTTTTTAATAATACAATCAAGCATACTACATTGTCGATCCTCTCTCTCTCTCTCTCTCTCTCTCTCTCTCTCTCTCTCTCTCTCTCTATTTTAACACATCAAAATTTCATATTTTTCATAATTAACCGAGTAGACGCTACTTGACAGCTGAGTGTTTCATAAATAATCCAAATCATCGATTTGAATTCTATCCCTTATCTTTTTTAAACGTCTTTTACTTAATTAATCATTCTAACAATTAATAATCTAATGATTAATTTTTAAGAAATACTTTATTTTACCGTTTAGAATTTCAGTATTACTACATTCTATAACTCAAGTACTCGAAACGAAAAGTAAATTTTCAGTTTTCAGATTTGTTAATATTCTTAACAACGATGCCTTTAACATTGATTGATTAAAGAAAGGCCAAACACTAATTGGTATTGTGACGAGAACGGGTAGCGCAGGCAAAGCTAATGAACAATTACATTTAATTAAGAACATTAAAATAAATATTAATTATAAATATTAATTATCTGTTTACAATAATTCTTATAAAAGATACTGGCAAGATACGACTGCCCTTTAATCATGAAAGAAAATTATGCTTCCCCCTCCATTAATAAATAACGGGACTCGGTACCTATGCAAACATACGCATTCTTCGCAGCACTCTCTCTTTTTGCAGTCTAAGACGTAATGCCGAATTGTTTTACTTATAGTTTAAGGGCATTAGGACTTATATGCACCAAACAAACAAATAAACAATTAACCAAACAAGCAATAATTATTATAGTTATGTATTAGTTACGTATCAGGATATATGGCAAATATTTTAAAATAGAATGAAAGCGAAGCTTATACTGATAGAAGAGGCATGGATGGTTTTCAATAGTATAAGGTGGTTAACCATTAATAAATGTTTAGATAAATTAAATGGATAAATTAAATGCTTGCTAATGGCTATCTTCCGTAAAGTCTACAGCAACACACGAGTCGCATAGAAAGTTAAGTCATGAAATCGCATTAGTTTTATTATGCCAGAAGAACATTGATATTATTATGAAATGATAATTGAAATTATTTAATGCGAAAATTGTGTGCCTCTTTATTAAATACCAAAAGACTGTTTTATTAATATAATACCTCGGTTTATTATATTTCTTCGTTATCGTTATATATTTCGTATTCGAAAAGTCTACAGAAGCTATGTGTTTGCCCTGTTTTTCTCCAATTCCACTTTCAATCTCTTAAACTTCTCTACAAGAAATTTACTTCTGCCTCCTCTCTAACATTTCAATATACTGTTGAACTGTTCTCATTTTATACTAAGCAATTCTACCTAATCTTATTCAATTAAACACATTATTATTAAAATTTATTATTAATTTTGTTATGAATTTTGTTTCAAAATCATTGATAATATTTTTATTAATAGCGAATTGCTTATTGCATTGTGTGCAGATAAAAAAAGGTAATATAAATATTTAATAGCCACGGAATATTGCATTGATTTACATATATTTATTCTTTCTTTCAAAAAAATTACGATTCTTAATCTTTTTTTGTTTCAAGCTTAAGCATTCGTAGGACATAATCTATATTTTCCATAAAATTCAATCTAATTACTTCTCCAACATAATGTTATCATCATGGAGAAGAATCTTACGTTACGTTATTAAACAATTATTCAAAAACAGTTATTTGCATCTATATAATATAGCGATTGATTGACATAACAAATTTTTATTTAATGTATTTTATTTATATTTGCGGTAAATCGAAAGTTAATTTTTACTTACGTCCTTTTATTGAAATGTAAAGAATGTTAAATTTCTTCATCAATTATGTGTGATGCTGTAGGTATATTAAATGAAATCCATAGGTATTGACAGGTGAAAAATTGTTAATAACAATATCGCAATTTTTATAATATTAAATATAAGCCCTATGTGCTAATAGATCTGAATAAGCAGAACTTTTTTCTGAATAATTATCGATTTAAAAAAACTATTTTTTATCATTATGATTAATAAAATATAAAAGATCTTGAATTAATTATCAGTAAAAGGAATAGTCGTTAATTAAGTTGACAAAACTCTAAAAAAAAAAAAAAATTCTATTTTGATAAATGTACTATATTATTTTACATATTCACGTAGTAGGATTTTGAAATTGTAATTATAGATTATACGTTGAAAAATTTTTTTTTTCATTTAAATCCTTTCACGGAAATAAATGTTAATATTTCATTATTATAGAATGTATTAAATAAACAGTACCAAAACAATTAAATGCACGTTTGAAAAGTTATTTAATTATATTAAAATTTTGCGGTTTCACAAATTCATTGTGGACAAGTCTTAAATTATTACAAGGAGGTGGTTTTTGTTAAGTTACGGTTTATAAAACTTTTCTCTAAAATTACTCTGTCTACACTAAACTAGCACAGGTTTCTAGTCATAATAATAATTCTGGAGTAGCATGATAAATTAAATACCAATATTTATCATGTTTGGATTTTAAATAAATTGCTCGAAAGAAATAATCAAATTTTATCTTAAAAATATAATTATTACATGTACGTATATATATATATATATATATATATATATATATATATATATATATATTGTATAAGGTATTTAAGATTATCATTTAATCTGAATAAAACAACAAAACTTTACAATGCTGATAAATAGAAATATAGAGAATTTTTAATAATTTATGAATAATGCAGTATTTAATGCAGTTACACATAATATTGGCAGGTAATATATGGTATTATTTATAGAAAATTTTCAATTAATTAGTAAAAGCAATTTAAGGCAGATTTATTTATCTTTCTTGAAAAATAATATAAAAACCTAAGAAATTATTTAGAAATAGTAGTCATGTTTATATTTCAGATAATTTAATTTCTAATTATTTATTATATTATACCAAATAATAAGATGATTTGATTTAGTTAGCTTAACTATGAATTAAAATTTTCCATTATAAACATGTATATCGATTCACATGTTATATGTAAAAGATAAAAGAATGAAATGCAGTATCATTTTAGAGAATTAGAGAAGAAAATGATTGTAATATTAAAGAGTAATTTCCCGTGATTTATAATAATCAAATTTATGAAGAAATAATTCATTTCAAACTATGATTATTGGCTCCTGTAATTTTCATGTTATATATTTTATGATTTATTTTTAATAAATAATATTGATTTGTAATTGTACTACTTCTTCTATATATATATATATATATATAGATAATAGTATAGAAAATTTATTAAAAACATTATTAAAAATAACAAATTTTATAAATATTTTCATTTAACAAGTTTCATCTTTTTCAAGTTAATTCACACGAAAAAATATATATATTAGGATTTATTTTTTAAAATGTTTTACGTAGAAGGAATTTTGTATAATTTTATACTACTTGAAAGTTATTGAGCAATTTTTTAGTATTTAAATTTGTGGAAATCGATATTATAATTAATATTCTTATTCGACATATGACATTGTTTGAAAGTTTCTTTGAATTGCTGGGATGAACTTTGATCAGTTTTATTTATTGTATGTATTCTATAAATTCAATTTCCCGTTTAAAATTGAAATAAAGTAAAACTACGTATGACATAAGATATTTGTTAATATTATCTAAATATTAGGATTTACCGTTTTATGAAAATGTTCCTTCAGATTAAAAAAGAAAGTACAAGTAGTATAATAACGTGCTAGTTTACATCAAATATTAAATAAGAATCTTTCGATATAATAGATTGTTGTCCGTACACGTGTATTTAACGAAATATATAAAGTTAAGTCTATAAATTTTTTATTTCAGTTTTATTTCAGTTAGCGGTATCGTAGAGATTGAAAACAGAAAAATATAATCGTTATATGAAAAATAACAGAAGAAAGTATGATCGTTCTGTAGAATGTCAATAAAATACTGAAGCAGTTTGGAAGAATAAAAAATATAATAATAGTTAGGAATTTTATGTATTAATTGAAATATCCATCAGAAGCAATCGATAAAACGCATCTGTATGACGAATAATTTACTATTTCATTTAGTGTTAAATTGAAATAGGAAAAACAATGTTCAAAATTAATAGTAGCAATAAATAATATTAATAGTAAATTAATATTAGTAATATTAAATTAAAGTATAAAAATAATATTTTGAAATTATCGAATATATTAAATATATAATTTAGGTTTATTATAATGGCAAAACCAGTTTACTGTCCGTTACGCGTACTTTCATTTGTTTTCTTAAAGAATAGTATAATTTCAATGTTTATTATTATTTATAATAATTTTTATAAAAATATAATTTCGTTATAATTAAGTGTTTTTTTTTCTTTAATTGTTTATTTATAATTATTTATATATACCATTTTTACAATTATTTATCTCATATTGTTACTAATTTTGATCATAGAAAATAAAAAAATTTTAACATTATATCAGACAAATCAAATTAAATAAG